AATTTTATTAGTACACTTAACTTTTTGGTGGCTTGTTTTGCTGCAATAGATAGCTAAAGTCAGCAGGAATACTCCAATAATATAAGACATTATATATAAGTAAGGGTCAAAAACTGTTACTTTCAACAACCGGATTTCCTAAACTGAAAGCAAAGACAGTATCTCTTTTTTGTTTTGTTTTGTTTTTGAGATAGGGTCTCGCTATGTAGTTGAACTGATCTGGAACTCACTATGTAGCCCAGGCTGGTCTCGAACTCACAGCGATCCTCCTGCCTCAGCCTCCCGAGTGTTGAGGTGTGCGCCACCATGCCCGGCTAAAAGCCAATATCTCAAGGGGACTAGAATTTAATAAAACCATCTGCTGAAGTTTGTTGCATAAGGGCTTTTAGGCTCAGGCTTACTTTTATGGCTTGGAAACAGTGAAAGGAATTAACAATTTTAACAAAGTAGCTGACTTCAGGCAAATTTTAGAGACAAAGTGAGAGAGCTCCCTTCCAGGCCAGGAGATGGAAACCTGGGTCTCCTGACTGCTGCCTCACATGCTCCATTGCCCAGAGAGGTTCCACCTGCTTACCCTCCAGGGAGCTCCCAGGAGGAGATGCCAAACCTCTGACACATGGTACTTGAAAGCCATGGAACACTTCCACCCGAGGACTCCACAGTGTGTCTCAGTGTACACTTCAACAAGCTAAGATGGTTCCTTAGTCATGAAAAAATAAAAACCACAAATTCTGTACAATTAGGGGAACAGCAACAATGCTAGATTTATCTCATTATCAGTGCGTCCTCTTCCAGGATCATAAATGTCTCCCAAAGTTTCGTAATTCATCCAGCAAATATTTATCATTTTGAAAACAGAGGTCTTAGATGATGACAGGTCATTTAGCCTGAGTAAGTGGTATCTTGGCTAGTAAAAGTCCACTTCTGGGAAAATGAAACCTGGGCTCCTTATAAACATCAATCATCCCAGATAATGGTTATAATAGAGCTAGTTATGCTCTTCTTACTTTCACGCCTATGCTTATACTTCACATTTGGCAGTATTTAATGACTTAATCCATCTGTAAACTTTTAAATGGAAAAACCAAAGTACAAAGAAACAGATTGTCTTAGATCATTCTACAAATCAAAACACATACTTTTAAAAATCAAATACTCTTTCCTTGTGTTAAGAATAAATCCCAAGTGCCTGATCAGTCACTTTATTTCCAGCTGTTAGTGGTGAAAGTAGAGAACTTCCTCAGCCACCCAGGAAGAAAAATGTAAGAAGCCCTTATCCGCTGGCTACCCAATCTTACAGTGATCCATGGAAACTCCGGGGACACAGAACACGATTCTCTATACTTGAAGAGAATTTTCCAAAGCACAGATGTTTCTCTCTGAACTGTGAATACTGGCTGACTGTCCATATTCTTTCTCAGTGTTCAGCCGAGAGTACATTTTTGGAGTGGCTTGCCCCCTATACCCTGGGGACAACGTTCATTGCTAGATGGAAAATACATCTTTAGACAGCCAGAAATGAATCAGTATTGTACAGAAATGCCTCCACTTCAGGGAACTTCCTGGAGATGAAATGTCTGTGGCTCTGGGTTTCAGAGCAGTATGCATGTGGACACCTGAGTAAGATAGAAAGAGATTTTCAGAACGGTAATTTACGATGATATTGATATGTGTTCGAAAACATTCATGGATTTTCTCCTTGTACCATTTTGGAAACAAAAAGTTAACTCATTTTTCAGGTTAGTGCTTCAGTATTTTCATTAGGAGATTTCTACAGTCCTTATCTGAATTACAGGAAATAAAATTCTTTCAAAGCTAGAATAAAGCTTTATCGGTCATAAACAGCACTGAGTATTAAAATCTGTTAAGAATTTAGACATTTCATGCCCAAGAATGCAAATACACTCAGCTCATTTACATCATGCAAGTGTGGGAATGCAAGGTTGGCACAAATTTAAATACTATAATTATTAACACGCTGATTTATTTCATTTTATTAAAATATTTGTTTCCTAATAGCATTTATATTACAAATATTTACAGTGTATGGATAAATACATTCTTCTTTCATTTATTGTTTGTCAAAGTTAGTGTGCCGAAGCATAACCTGGCTCATAATCTCTCAATTATGTCAAAGACAAACTAAAAGTCTTGGCAAAAAAATCCAACCAACTTGCTACGTACACATTACCAAAAGTACTATTGTAAGTTTTGGGTGGACAGGAATACATTAAAAAGTTTAAGCTTCGTGGGGTGTGACAAGTATTTATATAGTGGGAGAAAAAGAGCTTTTCAGATAAGTGTGCATGAGACTAAACAAAAAAAAGCAGTATTTCTGTATTGTTAGTTTGTAGCACATTTTTTCTTTTAAGCTAATTTTGAATTGTGTTTGAAAGATCTAATATTCAGAAAATATAAGGCTTTCTTGTTCAAAGGCTTTCAGCCCTCAACCTGAAAGACAATGCGAAGCTGCTCGCTCTGCAGGACTCCTGGGGAGGGCTCTGCACTGCACAGAGGGCTCGGGGCTCCACTGAGGCTGCTGAGGGGAGGGGACACCACTCCTCCTGAGTGGAGGTTCAGATCACTCTTAATGCTGAGTGCCTTGAACTTACAATTTTTAGGGCAAAGAAATCTGAGTTCCAAGACATCTTCAAATTAGAAGCCATGTTAAAAAACCTCTCGTTTAAAACCACTCAGATCTTTATGGGGTAGGTCAGATTCTGTAGTGATTTAAATTCTGTCTATAATTTTACTGTTCGAAAAACATTTTCAAAGCATAATGCTGCTCACTATTCTCTGAGCCAAGAATGTTACTAGAATTAGCTTTGATCACCCTATATTTAAATAAGGTTATGTCAAGGATTAAATGAATGTATGTGCCTGACACATAATAGCCAGTGCGTTTATTGTGAACATTGTTATAATCCACTAACTCGTAATTTTTGCAGAAAAGCCATTAGCACAAAATGAATAAAATCATTGTAACACAATTCTTGCATTCTCAAAATTTAAAGACATCTTAAAAAAAAAAAAGTTCCTAAGACCCCAATTACTATTAACTTGGCTCAGAATTAACTTCTCTAAGCACATTCATATCCTTTCTAGGTGCCCACTTCCACCCAACCTTCCTGCCACCCTAAATTCCTGCAAAAAGGGAGTCCAGTTGTGTCAGAAAATAACTAATTAATCTTACCTCTGTAACTGATCCTAAGTGTGAGCCTGCTAAGGGCAAGGGTGCCCTCCAGAAGATTCTAAGAAATGTTAGCAAAGGAATTCCTTCCTTCACTATATAGCTAGCCTCCCACATTCACGGGTTCTGCAATCAGTGTAGTCAATGAACTGTGAATTGAAAAAAATTTTACAAAAAATGTAGGGTTGGTATGAAGCTCTGGGGTAGAGTGCTTTCAATGCATACACAAGACCCTGGATTCAATCCCCAGTTCCACACAAACACACCCACACACACACACACACAAAGTGTATACTAAACATATAAACTTTTTTCTTGACATTATCTATCCCTGAATAATACAGTGTAACTACTGCCACCACCCCCCTTTTTGGTCAGTGGCTACTTTGTAAGACAGGCAAGGCACGTATAGGCTGACTGGGGCTGGCACTTTTGATCTTCAGCTTGCAAGGCTGATTACTTTTCAGCTGGGTCTCATGTTCAGGGAAACATGACAGCACTTACACTGTATTAGGTATTGTAAGTAATCTACAAATGTAAAGACTGTGGAACAGTGGTGACAAACTTATGGCGCACATGCTATACACCAGGCTGTTTATCACTGAAAGCTCTAGAAGGTTTGCCATCACTGCTATAGGAAGAAAAGGTAGGTTGTTTGTAAATATTATACCATTTTAGATGAAGGATTTGAGAGCCACAGATTTTGCTGTCTGCAGAGTCCTGATCCCTACATACACAGAGGGCTTACCTCACTCCTCATTAAGCTAAGGCTCCTCCTGCTGCCCTAAGCAAATCTGAAAGCTAGCTTTCAGGTAGTTTCATCCCACTGTGCTGGGCAGATCTAAATTTCTGGTTGGTTGTGCACATAGCTAAATACAAGCAAGAAACTCATTCTCCAACTGCCCAGAAACCGCATCATCCATACTTCTGAGAGATCCAGTAGAGAAGAGAATGGGTAGTTTGTATCTGATCACACTCAGCTTTTTCTTTTTTTTTTTTTCATTGAGTTTATTGGTACTTTTTAAGTAAACAGTACAGTTACATTTAGGATCTGGTACCTTTACATGACAGATCTTGGTTCTCATTTTCCCCCCATACCCCTGCCCTCCCTTCACCCCCTCCCTGCTCCCTATTCAGCTTTTCCTTACACGGAAAAGAGTTGGTCCAGAAGCTGCTGAATTCCATTCACGAGCTGCTAACCCTAACCCTAACCCTAAACTGCTGGGCAGATTTTAAAGCTCAGGGGCCAATCCTGCAGTCATTAGCTGCTGTTACAAAATCTAGCAATCACTGACTCCAAGTAATGCAAATATTAACTTTAGCTCTAACTTTGGTGTCAGAATTTAATATCAAACATGGAGATACTTTTTGTCTTTACTACTTGTCTTAGTCAAGCAAATTAGAGTCCCAGAGAAACTACTTCTCTATAAGGTGTGATGGATTAAAACAGAATCTCAACTTCTGGAATTTTCATTTATGGGATTGTTCCTGGTAAGCTACATTTTAATGTCAGTATTCTGGGAAAAAGGTAAATTTGAGGTCAAAAATACTCTTAGTTATAGACACAGTGACAATGCAAATATTTAGTGCTTGTAGATGTGTCTGTTTCTTCCTAGGTGATATGGTGTTCATCAGGTTTCCTTTTCTTTTTTATAAACTAAGCAAATGTTTACTGTATCATTCACATACCATAAGTTATGTAGAAAAAAAAACACTCGAATTGCTTAAAATGCAAATATTCTTTGATTTACTCTTCAAACAGCAAATTAAAGAAACACCAAAACCTTATTAGTTAAATAAAAAAGTGGCATTCTTTATTTACCAGATGTTTTAAAACATTGACATGCATTCATCTTCATGGTCATATTCTTTAGTAATATCTTTTCTTCCCTTTTGTCCTTCAATTCCCTGAATTATTTTTGATGGATTCATCTCTAAAGCAATGAGTCTTAAGTGTTTAATTCTTTTTATTGTGCCTGCATCAGACAAATCTAGATTTTCTCTTTTGTCTCTTACACATGAAATGGGCATTAACAATGGAGATTTCAGCACATTTTTGGGATGCTATCAAAGGTAAGCCCTAGGGCAAGCATTTCAGCAATGATAGGCCAATTTGGTTTTGAGAACTTAAGCATCAATTGATTCTAAAAAGCAATACTCAATTTCAGAAGTACATCATTATATTGGACATGTTCATAACATCTAATATTCATTTCCACAGTTTTGATTTCAGAATACACAGTTTTCTGAGGTTCAGTGTGACTGCCTCAGATGTAATTCTTGAATGTAAATGACATAATCTTTAAAAAAACAATAAAGGGTAAACTTGAATATAGAACAGCTTCAAAAGGAGCAATAACAGCAAGAGAAAGCTCTTAGCTTTTAAAAAATGGTATATATACATAGTAAGGAACAAAACTGAATCAAAATACATAGACTTTATACATATCAGCAATATCCAATGTGCCACCAATATAACAACTGCCCCTTAAAAAGAAAAGTTGTAAAGTTTGGAGCCATACTTATTTTTCTTTGTGTAACTCTACATTTGTGTTCATATTTTCCCCATAATCTGCTAGCCATTAGGAAGCTTTTAACCAGAACTTTTGGCAATATGTTTTCCTTCAAATAAAACAAGCCTCATAAAAGTACTACCATTAATGTCTGACAGCTGAATTGGCCAATGTCTTCCTGAAATACATGATCTTTAAAAAATTCCTTTTCCTTCATGAATCAGCAGTGTTCCATCTTCAAATAAATCACAATCATGGTCTTAATTTACTGGCTCATATGTTCTCTTCATCCAACATTTTGTTGATACCATCACAAAGTTTTTGTAAGTGAGGTTTAAAATTTCCAAAGGGATTATACAAAGCAGCCAAAAATTCACAATTCGAAAAATGATCGAAGACATTATTAACCCGTCCATGTGACTTGGCAGTGAGGTGACGCTGAATGATTTGGTGGAGTATTTCTCTGCATTCGTTTAACAACTTAGATAACACATTCCGGTCGAAGGTGTAATCCACCTGATGGAAACTGACCACGGTCATAGCAAGCTGATGAACTTTCTTCTTAAATTTCTCCATCAGTGCGAGCTCATCCTGATTAAACTGGTTATTCCTATAGAGAATGGCCAGTTTGATGACGGTTTTAATGAGGTTTTTGATGATCTTCTCTGCCTCCTTCTTGTTCTGGGTATATTCCTTGGTCACTCTGTAGAGCTCATCTAGTACCTCACTACTTGTGTCATCTATTAAGGTGGTGGCGATGGATTTGGACACCATTTTACCCAAGATTTTCTTCTGTGCCTGAACGGCCAGGTTTTTGGAATTAAAGACATCTGTGGCCACTGTCCGGGTCAAAGAGAGGGGGAGAAAGCAAAAAGATCAGTATCAAAAGAGTCAAATTAAAAACCAAATATTAGGGAGTATTTTCTCATTATTTGGGGGCTACCACCTGTCTATTAATGTCTCTGTTCATAAAAAATATTTAAATATTTCTGTATTTCTGTTATTTGTGGGAATTCACAGGTTGATAACAACTCAGATATTTTGTACTTTCTGCTATGTACTCAATACTTTTTTTAGAAACTAAAACCACAAAATCATCTCTGTACCTGTCCCCTGGACAAAAGCATCCCAGAGCAATTGCAAGAAATTCATTTAAATGAAAGGGACATAAATGGTAAAGTTATGATATTGAGTAAGATGACAATTCACAGAAACAAATCAAAAGGAGACCCTAGTTTTATAATCCAGTTGCAAAAAATCAAACTGCATAAAATACTGGCCAGCACTCAACAGTCTGGCATCCCAACCACCTTGGATTTTATTTCCTAGAAGTCAAGTTTTGGAAGGAAATACTCCTTGGAGCATTCATTGCCACTCATGTTTTCTGATGAATTGGCCCAGTGTCCCCTTTCAATTGTTAGATTCTCTGAGGAAATAGCCACATTTCAACAGCTAATGAAACATGCTACAAGAAAAACACACTTTGGAAATGCTGATGCTCAGACTTTACCTTTGGAACGATCACAACTTGATGTTTAAAATGCACATAAATAGTTGTACATATGAAATATTAATGATACTATATGTAATGCTTTTATATTATAGGTAGTCAGTGAAAATGCTCAAAAAGGTTTATTCCCAAAAGCAAATTTAGCTTTTCTTCACTACAATTTTTTCCACTCTGGGTAGGTTGTAATCTCAAAGCTCCTCCTCTATAACTGTGTTTAATCCCTGTTCTCTTAGGGCCTCAGAATTGCATTTTTCAAGGAGTTTACTTGACCTGTGCATGCAGAGGCAACTGCTCTCTTTTTATAATATGCCAGCGAATGAGCTTAGGCTGGAAAGTAATTATTTGGTAATGAAAGATAAAAAGCTAAAAAAATATAGGTGGGTATGCAGGAATGGGGCACGGCATCAATAATGTAGGATTATTTCTAGTTTGGACCAGCTAGCATCATTGGGAAGCAAAAAGGTAGCTGTTTTGAAATCCTGGCTAGGATGACATATAAGAATGACTCCCTAACATTTTAGATATGAAATTTAGGCAAAGAGCAGCCACATTAGATTAGGCTCATGGCAAGTATACAGAACCAGTCAGCAATGGTTCCTGATGACCAGAATGTCATTCACAAACAGAAAATGTCACGCACGATGAAAGAATGTCACGATTGAACTAGAAATGGTTCCGACAAATGTCAATATTAAACTTCTGAAACATGAACTGAAACTGTAGAAGAAGAACTGAAATATATTTTGAGAAAGAAAAGGAAAGTGAAATTGTGTGAAAAGCAGCCAACTTTAGGTCCCCAGCTTTTTAGTTTGTGTCAATTAAGCAGTAGTTCGTTTCTATTATTTCTTCAATGACTGGCAAAAGAAATCTAATTCACACTAAAGAATGTTTATCAAAAGAAAGGCACTTATGTGGTTAATGTGATCATACAAAGACAATCTTTCATCTTAGAACTCTTGATACAAACTTCAGCAGATAAACCTGATTTATACAGGAAGGCATGCATGCCCAATCATTTCCAGATACACAGCAAAAAACTAGGATTTCTGCAATTTGTTTTATATAAAGTCGAAAGATTTTTCTAATTTTAATCTTCTGAACATGGCACAGTCTACAAACACCCCATGTGGGATTTATGGAAGTGCTTCTAAGATGGACACAAATACTGTGAAACAGTGAAGCTAGAGACAGAGGTGTTCATCAGATTCCACAGGGCCACTTTTCCAAGGCCAGACTTGCAAGCCTGTACCATTTCACAGCTACTTTTCTTATTAAGCCTCGATGTTCTGTTTAATTTCAAATATAAAGAGAAACAAGAACTCCATGTCACAGCACTTTAACTTCCTGCGAGAGAGGGTATAAAGGCAAATTTACTGCTGACTAAGCTAGGTCATTCCCTATTTACTGGTAACAAGTCTGAACCAGGACAGGAAAGCTGTTCTCTGAGGTTTTCACGTTTGCGAGAAGAACTTCAAACCCTGTTTAGAAACACAGCGGCTACGGCGCACTTTTATTTTACTCTGGATTATTCCAGGGAGTCATCTTTTTAAATAAGGATGAAGATCTTACTCCCCATCTATCAGGAATACATGAATGCAGGGGATTTATTTTCCAGCATTAGAAAAAACGTTTTTTGGGGCTGGGGATTTAGCTCAGTGGTTTGGTGGCCTGCCTTGCAAGCGCAAAGACCCGAGTTCAATCCCTGGTACCAAAAAAAGAAAAACGTTTTTTGATCCAAGTGGGGCTTGTGGCTGGAAGTTGCTGGCCAGGGATGTGTGGTCTGTGATTATATATAAATATACATATACAATTTTGCAAATTAAATGGTGCTCATCAGTCCTGTTCAGGCTCATTTGTCAATTCCACATCCTCCACCAGATCTTTTACAGGAGGCCTGGCATATCTCCAGGCCTGTCCTGGACCAAGTTTTTCTCTACTCTACTCACCCCTATGTGATCTCAGCCTATGGCTTTTAGACACCACCCACATGCCAATGACCCCCACAGTTGTAACTCAGCCTTGAGCTCTTTTCCAGACTCACTTTTCAAAAGCACGGAAGGATGTCTTTTCCTTTGTGATTCTGCACGCATTATATAACCTTAACATGCTCCTCCTCCATTTTTTTTTTCTTTTTATCAGAACCTTTTATTCACCCATAGCCATTACTACTTGGGAATACAAAACGATTGTCAAGTTGAGCCCAGAATCAGACAGAACACTACTTAAATACAAGATACAAAAACATAGTCAATATAACCTAAGAGGGTAGCAACAGAGTATGATAAATGTAGAATATAAACAGCAGACTCAAGGCACGTCATAGTGAGGATTCTGTTTGAATGACAAAGGCTGAGGTTGTTTATAAATTTGCTTATTAGTTCCCTCATAAAGGGGCTAGGAAAACTAGCCTAGACCCCATTCTAAACCCACTGCTCTTCCCTCTTCTGGCCAGTTAAGAATAGTGCATGTACTGTACCTCTGATGGACAGCAACAAGACATCATCTCTGAAGTGGGGGACCAGGATTTCACCAGACACCAAACTTGCCAGCACTTTGCTCTAGGACTTCCTAGCCTCTAGAACTGCAAACATTTAAGCTTCTATTGTTGGAGAGATTAAATAAAAAGGGATGGGTGGAGGAGGTATTGTGTTGTGGACATGCACCAATTTCCTAAGAGGAATGTGATAATATACTACATGTACTAATAATAAACAAAATCTCTAGATTTACATATTATTTTCCGAGTGTTTCAAGAAATGGTCAAAACAATTCAGAACTGGAACATACAATAGGGTGCTTTAAACAATTTATTTAACTGAAATACCATATACTGACTTCCTTTTTTGTTTTTGGTACTGGGGATTGAACTGAGGTCCTTGCGCTTGCGAGGCAGGCGGCGGAACCACTGAGCCAAATCCCCGGCCCCTGACTTCCATTTTTGATACACCTTGTCCCAAGGTGATTTAGAGGATTTAAGCCAATATGAATATTTCATAAATATTTGGCCAATTGGGTACATGTGTACAACACCTCACTTCTTGCAGCAAGAAAAGCACTGAAGAGTAAAGACCTGACACAATTAACTATAGTGAGAATCCGCTCCAAATATTGTTTCTCTGAGGTAAAAGTACCATACATCTGTTTAATCAAGGAAACCATCCTTACAGCACAGGATGATTTTTTATTTTTAAGTAGGGCTTAGGGCACTCAGCTGCTAATTAGTTGCTGCATGGCAGAACTACATCCCCAGCTTATGCCATGAATTCATAGGAATAGGTTCCAACAACTCAAGCTCCTTTCCACTGATTCTCAGAAAGTGTACTTCTCTGGGTGGGGCAGGCTACTGCTTCAGCTGAACCCAGGTCCCTTTCTCTTTGGCATCCTTCTTTTTCTGATCATTTTCCTTGACACGTTTCAGGAAGCTATCTTGACTCTTTGAAAGTGTTTAATATGCTCAATACGCACATTAATCCTCTTGGCAAGTATCTTGCCCTTCACTTGCCTGTTTACAACAATACTAACAGCATGCTGGGTAACACTGTAGACTCTTCCAGTTCTGCACGGTAACATTTGTGTGGCATTCCTTTTCGAACAGTACTCATTCCCTGATGTCTACGATATCACTCTTTTTGTAGATTCTCATGTATGTGGCCAAAGGAACAACCCCATGTTTTCTAAAAGGCCTAGAGAACATATACCAGCTTCCCTCCTCTTTCCCTTTGTGTTCATTATTTTGGCAAATTACTGGAAGATGGAAGTTCTGGCCGAAAGGAAGGCTCATTTTTTTAATTCATTAATTTTATTGGTACATTTTGGTATATATAATATGATGATGTTCATTATTGGGATATATCTTGGTTCTTAGTTTTTTCCCCATTCCCCTGCCCTCCCTTCTACACCTCCATCCCCTCCTTATTTGTTTCCATTTTTTTTCCTTTTTTCATATTTATTCCTTTCCTTTCCCCTACCCCTCCCATTTCCCCTTTCCCCTGGCCTCCCTTCTACACCTCCATCCCCTCCTTATTTGTTTCCATTTTTTTCCTTTTTTCATATTTATTCCTTTCCTTTCCCCTACCCCTCCCATTTCCCCTTTCCCTTTGGGCCTTATCTTCCTATTTCACAATATCTATTTATACATTTTGATCCTTATTTACACTTTCAGTTTCTCACACCAGAGAAACTATTTGGTATTTATACGTGTGTCCTATTTATTTCACTTAAGAGTATGGCCTCAATGTGCATCCATTTCTGAATGGTACTCCATTTTATTTTTTAAAAACCACATCTTCTTGACGGGCAATCGTGCCATTTCCAAGTTTTAGCTATTAG